GCAAGATGTGACAAAATAATAATTTATAAATTATCAAGGGCTCATGAGGGAGGGGGAAGCGGGGAGGGAGGGGAAAAATGAGGACCTAATGCTGGGGGTTTAAGTGGAGAGGAAATGTTTTGAGAATGATGAGGACAATGAATGTACAAATGCGCTTTACATAATTGATGCATGTATGGATTGTGATAAGAGTTGTATGAGCCTCTAATAAAATGATTAAAAGAAAAATAAACAACCAACAGACTACGTAACACTTTACATAATCTAATATGGTATTTGTCACCCAGTAAACAGATGACATCCTAATATGCAAACAACTATTGTCATATGGTAGACATGTGAAACAGCAAGTTGCATGTGTAGTTAGGTGCAAGCTGATTAATCAATAACAAATTACAATTTAATAATGATTAACTGTCAGCATAATTACCACTTAGCTAACTACTGTAAGTCATTTTACCTGCCTAAAACTCATCTATAACCTAGAGGTTAATGGGGTTGTTGAACCTATTCAGTCTGATAATGCATGAATTTCTGGTATATGTAAGTGCTTACAAATTATATACCACCCAAACTTACTGAAGTGTTCTTCCACATCTACCTGACTTTTCTTCATAATGAACAGGTTTTTTAAAACATCCTCTGTATCTACCCATATAGCTACACACAACACAATCAGTCGAGCACATTTTAATGCCTATATTCATTAAGGTTAAAAAATTACTCTGAATAGCTCACTAAACCTAACTCCCACACTCACCCTTGCACACTACTACTAAAAACCCATAATACCTTGGTGAATATTTAATATACATCATATTTAATGCTCTAAAAATTTTCAAAGTTGATGTTTTTAGCTTTCTTTGCTGTGTAAACCTTTTCCCTTTTAGCAGACACTTTCATGGAAAGAGATACATAATTTTTTGAGTCCTCTACCCATGGGACAAACACACACACACACAAATTTTTTTTTCAAAGTTGAGTATTATTACACTCATCTAAAAAGTAAGGTGTTAATGGAGAGAAAATGTTTTGAGAAACAATGTACAAATGCGCTTTACACAATTGATGTGTGTATGGATTGGGATAACAGTTGTATGAGCCCCTAATAAAATGT